TGGAACACTCAAATACCTCAACAAGGCAGATAAATATATTGTAATTTCACAGGCAAGCTAAAGAAAAACAATAATAGCCAAAAGAGAAAACCCAGATAAGAGTGACAAAACTAGGCTAGTGGCCAGGAGCAGACATCACATCTCAGCTTGCAGACATGGGCTGTGCAGTAAGTCTGTACTCTCTCTTGGATTGCACACATTATTGTGTCCAAGCAAGATGACCGAGTCAGGCAATATAACAAGAAATATAATTATGCCTAAAAATCACAGGTTTCCTGAAATTGGGCTCTGCAGAGGATCAGTAGAGGGAAAATGAGGTGAGAAAGAGGAGGAAGGCCTCAGGATTTTGAGGTATGTAAGGTAAAGGCCAGCAGCTGTCAATTCTTGCAAGGTGATTAAAGAAGATCATGATTAAGAAAGGGGGGACTGACATGGGCAGATATATCCCCTTGTCTACTCCCAGCAGTGAATTTCAGCTCAAGTTGTTTGTTGGTGGTGTGAGGCTGAGGATAGGAGACAGATGTGTATTAAATAGGGAGGAGAGAGAAGATTTTGCTGGTGACAAACCACCAAGCAGCTGAATTAGGACACACATCTTTATAAGTGGTGGGCTATTATCTCTTGCATACGACCTTTTCCTTTGGAGAGATCCATAATATGCTTTAAACATAGAAAAGATTTGGTCTATGGAGAATTGTAAGTCTTAGTCCACAGGTGTTGGAAAGGTGTAGAAAAGGTTGCATTAAAAAAGTGTTGAAAAGGTTTTTGCTACAGTTCTTGGAAGCTGGGGCATCAGCATAAATGCTTTTCATCTCTTTGCATGCCTGCAAGAGAAAGTTCTGAGCCCTGGGCCCAGCAGCTGTAGGTTTGATGAGGTGATATAAGTCACCTGAATGAGGAACCACATAAACTCATAGGCCAGGGGCTGAGCCAGGAAGAGGAGGGTTTTTCTCTACAGTCACTTGCCTGTTTTACCTGGGAGCAGGGGGAAGAAGTGTCTCCTGCCATGCTGCCCACCCTAGGAGGTCATGGTAAAGATAAGTTAATCTGTTTTGTTTAAAAAAAGTACTGTATTATTGTCCTACATGGCTCTTTCCTGTGACTGGAGATTCCTTCTTTTCCCCTACCTATGTATCTCCTGGTCCAAAAGGTGTCACATTTTACAGCCCAGTGGAGAAGCAACACTGGAAAGCATGAGGAAGGTGTGTCTTGTTATTTCTTTAGCTACAGATGGGAGCTACAACACAGGGGTAGGTGAAGATAGATCAGTGCTTGAATATTAGTTACAGGTGCTGCTTTCCACTGCAGAGATTCTGTCCTTACTGGGCTTTGTTCAGCAAATCAATCATAAGGATTGTACTTTAAAGGTGTTGCACTTTGGGGTGTTGAAAGTGGGTGTTTCAATGTACAAGAAAGGATATAGGTCTCTGACAAGAGATGGATAAACCATCTTCTATGTAAAAGGACTTTTAGGATGAGAAATGTTTATTCCAAACTTCTTCCTGCTGAGAAAGAAAAAAGAGCAAGTCTACTAACAAGATCCAGAAGGATGCAAGCAGTTGGTTTGTTGGGAAGTGATGGCATCTACTTCTGAATATGAGCTTAAAAGGTCGGTAACTCTCATTCCTTTTGCTTCTTTCTTTCCCTTCAAAAACATGCCTTGAAAAATTCAAGTCAAAGAGGAAATCGTTGTATCACGCTATACTCCTGTAGGTCTGGTTCTGGAAATTAACATTCTTCCTTTGCTATAAAAATAGCTCACAGTACTGGTTGTCTTAACCTGATCTCATTGTCATGTAGGCTTCTCATCGACAGCTGGTTGTTGCCCATGCTCTCTGCTGCTGGTATTGAGCTTAGAAAGACATGTGCACATGCTTATGATCAACAGGTTCACTCTGTGTTGTATTTTAACGATTAGATTCTTAATAACTGTAATATGGACTCTGTCTCCACCAAAGCGGAGAAAAAACCAACCAACAACACAAAATAAGTCAATCTTGTCAGGTCTTAAAAATATTCCTTAATGCATGTTAAACTAAATTATGCCTTATTTGAAAAAGTCTCTGAAATGAAACAGCAGGAAGGTAATAGAATGTTACAGGTTCTCATAGACAACAAGGGTTTTGAAACCTTGGGGTTTCAAGTTATCCCATGTTGTTCAATGTTAGAAACCATTTCAGTCTGGAAAGGGTGCAGCTTCCTACTAAAGGATTTTCCTTGGGGAAGAGTATGAAGCTTTAATGGTACTTGTTTTGGGATATGTAGCTGGAGCCATTCTGCAATAAGTAAGCTTAAAACTTCTCTTAAAAACAATGGGTTCATCCACACAAGAGTCCCAGAGCAGGCCTTTCTATAACTAAGTTATAGAACAGCTTTGACAACGTGGTTGTGGCTCAAAAGGACAAAGCCTAGCAGCACAGGTGAATGACCATAGTGAAATACTTACTGCAAGAAGGTAGGAATACAGGGGGCAGTATCCCATGTTATTTTGTGCCTGGAACACAGTGGAGCTATGTGCAAATGTTTATAATGGAATACTGATCCTTTATTTGGATGGATTTGGAAGCTCTGGGAGAAGGACAATATTAAGCACACTCAGTAACTGGACAACCCTCACAGCTTCAGAGGTAGATTCTGACAGATTCTGGGGTCTTTCCAAAAGATCCATAAAAGGATAACCATGAAAAGCAACCTTAGCCGTATAAACTTGTGAGGAATGCCATGTCATTCCCACCTTTCCAATGGGGTTCACACCTTCTCTGGAGCACATCTAGAAGTGATAACTGGGAGGGGTGGGGTGTAATGGTGGAATAAAAGAGAAAAAAGAAAGCCACTAGGCTAATCTAAAAGAGCTTGTCAGATCCTAGCACAAATACTGCTTAGCAATTTTAGTGTATTTTTAGAAGCTTAAATCTTCTCCCTTTTACACTCATCCCCCTAAGAAGGCAGCCACATAATGAAAGGGGGTGTACTGTGTGTTAGCTCACTTGGAAGTGTCTCAGTGTGGATTAAGTCACTTCAGTGTTACTGCCACATCAAAAGGTCAGCACTTTCACTTGCATTAAAATCATAGTTTCATTGTCTGCAGGAGGATATTATCATGCATTGGCTTCTGGGGGTTTTCTGTACTGCTGAAAATTTATGGGAGAAGCTGGTGGCAGGAGAATGCCCATGGATCTGGTGCATTTCCCGCTGCTGAGGCAAACCCACAAATACGGTGGTATGCGACCTGCAGCAGCTCACATCAAAAGGTGTGGGGAAACGCGCAGGATACATGCAGTCTTTGTGCTAACTATGGCAGACCTGAGCCATTCGGTTTTTAGCTAGTATTCCCTTTGCAGTATTCTCACAGTGTGCCATAAAACTTATTCTTCATGCACCAAAACTGCTGTGCTGCTGCCACCGAACCAGAGTTTAACATCTGTGAAGGCTGGAGAGTTTTTAGGGGAAAGGATGGTTTGTCTCTTCACCCTTGCTAGCCCCTTGGTGAAGGTCCAGCTCTTTTTAACAAGTTGGCTATGGTAGGTTTCAACTTCAGCAACTGGGCCTGAAGGCCTGAAGTTAGGTTTAGGTCAAGTTTGCCCACTCCCTGCAGTCAGTGGAGCGGGAGATGCACTTCCAAGCAGCAGGATGTATCTTGCTGGTGGACTTCAATGGAGATGAACTAACAGAGCTACCTGCACATCTGCTTCAGGCATCCAGGACTATGACATGAGCTAGATCTCTTGAAATGAGCTGGTGCAGTATAGAGTTGACAAAGATTCTTTAGAGGTGGCAGTGTTTTGTGGGGTTTCTCTATATGCATTTTGAGCCACAGCTAACGGATTTGCTTCATGATAAGGACTGGAATGGGCATTTTGCAGTGCTGACATGACCAGGCGGCTGCAATTGCCCATCTTGCCCATCTGTTGTGTGTGCTGTTTTACTTTAAGTTTGCAGGAGCCGTTGTCCCTGGACCATCAGGTGCTGTAAGCACCCACAGTTGAGAGATGGCCCTTGCTGCCCAACACTTGTGACCTGTTAAGCTGCAGTTAGCCACCCTACTGTAACATCTGTCTTTGGTGGGCTGTGCTACCTTTTCTTTTGCACTTCAAAATGATAAGGTGAGCACCAAAACCTGATTACCATGCTTAATTACCAGATTACGTATTTGGAGGTAAAACCCATGTTTACTCTGGAATAGCAGTACACTTGGGAAAAGGAAAAGCAGAAGTGAAAGAAAGCTGAGGTGGATTTACTTGAAGGCAGCTGCAGCTTTTCTTTGTGCTGCTTTGCAGCACGTGTGCTCTGTGCCGCCAGAGAGGAGAGGGAAAGCACCAGTTTGCCATCAGCAAAATGGCTGCAGGGGCTGGGTGCTGAGGTGAGGACCTGTGCCCTGACATGGGTGTTCTAGAGAAAAGCATGTACTCAAAGCAGTGCTAAGTACGTGGTCTGTTTGCTTTTGAGTTAATGTGGATTTATATATATATATATATTTATTAAGAAACTCTACACAACCCTTGAGTGATGTTATTGGTAACTGGGAGGTGTGCCTGGCACTCACGGTGAGCTTCAGCAGCATCTCTGGATAGAGAAGGGGATGTCAGGATGAGCACTCCTGTGGCTCGGTGAGACCCTGGGGGACAGTGATGGGCCTGCCTGACAGGAGTGGAGAGCTGTTGGGCAGGGGACAGGGCTGTCCATGAGGGACCGTGGAGGCTGTGCTTGGGAGAGGCCTGTTGGCTGCCGAGACGAACTTCTCTGTGGTTAAACAGGCTGCAAAGATGGAGAGAGGGGAAGTTTTGAACACAAAGGCGCGGGCCCCTCGCAGCAGAGCCGGGTGCCTGCATGGGGCACAGCTGGGTGAAGGCCGTCCTTGTGTGCTGATGTGCGACGGGCAGCGGGCTGGCAGCCCCACCGTGATGCGGGCTGCGGGTGGCTCAGGAGGCTGGTGCCGCCGGGAGGAGCGCGCTGTCAGCCGCGCGTTGCCTGGGCGGCGGGCGGGAGGAGCCGGCCCGCCCTCAGGCCGCGGCGGGAGCCGAGCGGGGCGGGGCGCCGCAGGGCGCGCGCGGCGGGGCCGTGTTTACATTCCGCAGCCCGCTGCACGTTGTCGCGGGGCCGCGCGCTCCCATTGGCTGCAGCGGGCGGAGGCCCCGCCCCCGAGGGGACGGGCTGAGCCGTGCCGGGCGCGCGGCGTGCGCTGCGCATGAGGCTGCCGGCGGAGCTTCCCCCCGCGGCGGGGAGCGGACGCCGGGCTCTGTGCAGCGGATCGGGGTGACGGTGCTGGGGGGCTCCCGCCAGCGGGGCTGGGGCGGGCGACGGGCAGCGGAGCGGTTCTCCCTGCGCGGCGGCAGCGGTGACAGCGCTCCCTCCGACGCTGCCCGCCGTTGTCCTGGGACGCCTCCTCCAAGGGAGCTGGTTCGGGTAGCAGGGTGTCCCATCACAACGATGGGCAGGCGAGCCGCTGGGCCTGGGGCGGCCCAGCGGAGAAGGGGCGGTGCTGGGGCGAGCGGGGCGAGGGCGCCGGCGGCAGGAGGGCGGTGGAGCTGTCTGCCGCCCTTGCACATGCGCAGCGCGGGCCCGGCCGCGGTATATAGGGACTTGGCGCCGGCGCCAGCTGAGCAGTGCGGCCCGGGCAGCAGTAGTGGAGGTGCGTTAGGGCGGGGGGGAGGATGGGGGGGGGGGTAGGCCGTGGTGGCAGTGGGGATGATGATAGGGGTAGCGGTGGTTACGGTGGTAAGGATGGTGGTGGAGGCTGCGGTGGTTGTGGTGGTGCTGGTGGAAGGTGGGGTGGCGGTCCCGGTCCCGGTCCCGGCAGTGCCGGTGTGAGGGGAGGGGGGCAATGAGCGGGCTGCCCGCCCGGCACCGTTCTGGAAGGAGAGCAGCTGAGGAGAGCGTGGGGGTGGGTGTCCGCGCGCGGCCCCATCCGGCCCCGCAGTGTCCTCCTTCCCGGGGCAGTGATCGCTGCTGGGCGCCGCTGTGAGGGGCGACGGCCCTGGGCGGGCAACGCCTGCGGGAGGCAGCACGGCGGGCAGGGGTATCGGCGGGAGTCCGCCATCGCCTCCATCCACTCACCCCCCACCCAACGGCGGCGGGAGAGCTCCGTGGGGGGTGGCGGAGCGCGGGATGATGGTTTTGGAGGGAGACGGGAGCGGTGGGGGTGGGGAAGCCGGCCAAGCCGCTTGGCGGGCTGACCCCGACTACTGGCCCGCTCGTCCCGTCCTCACCCTACCCCGGCGGGTCCCGGCTCTTCCCGGCTCTGTATTTCGGTATAGCAGCTTGGCGAGAAGAGTGCCTGGTGGGGGCAACCCCATCACGGTCCCCGGTCCCTGCGGTGTTACCCTCTGAAGGAGAGTGGCGCCGAGTGCCGGGGTGCCGTCTCGGCAGCCGCCTCCCCCCCCCCCCCCCACTTCCCCTCAGGTTTTGGAGGGAGCCTCGCTCGCAGCAAGGCGGGAGCGCGGGGTGCCGCGGTTCTGCCCCCTCACGCGTCCCCTCAGCGGCTGCGGCGGGAGAGGGGCAGACGGCGGCTCGGCCCCTTCTGAAGGGAGAGCGAGCGCGGGCAGCGGCTGTGCCCCCACCCCAGCCTGACCCCCGAGGCGCCCCCGGCCCGTCCCGGCTCTGCACGGCGCGGCGCAGGCCGCCGCCTCCCCGCTCTCTGCAAATTGGCGCGGAACCGGCGCGGCGGGAGCGCGGGCGGCCGGGCACGACACGGCTCAGATCGGCACAGCCCATCCCGGCAGGTGTGGGGGGCCCGCGCAGAAATCGCCCCCCCCGGGGAGCTGCTGCACCGGTAGAGTGTTTGTCTGTGGGTGCCCGGTGGCTGCAGTGTGCAGGGTGTAAAGGGCCCTGGCAGTCGCAGCCCCAGGGATCCCTCCACATTCTCTCGAGTGGGAAAAGACCCTTCACAGCTTCCCTCTCTCACTTACTGCCTGGGCCATACAAGCCTAACTCGCCCGAGCAAAACTGACCGATGGGGGCATCCCTGTGTAACCCACTTCAGCAGTGATCCCCCCGCAGGCCATTGAGCTCTTACCTTAGGCGTTCCTCACACCAGTAAATTAGTTGTGCTTCTATTCCAGTTGTGTAAACCATGCTGCTCTTTGTGATGAATCTTGCAACACGAAGTATGGAAGTTGGTCCTAAATTCTGGAGGATGTATTAACTGAGCTTACATTATTCCTTTGATCCCCAGGTACAGATCTTACAACCCAAAGAAGATGTCAAGACGTAGGTAAGTTGTTAGGATTGTAATACACCCAGCTTATCTGTGTTCATCTATCAACTGCTGCTCTCATAGTTCCTTATGTCTTTTTGCTCTTTGTAGTAGCCGTTTGCAAGCCAAGCAGCAGCAGCTACCACTGTCATGTCAAGAAGAGTCTCCGCAGGAGCTGCAGGCATCCGAACATCTCCAGACCAGAAAAAAGAGAACAGCAGAGGTGACCAATTTGGGCAACTGGAAAAGTTCTCCAGTATGTTTGGATGGGAGAATCTTTGCTGAGTTAGAAAGTGGGGCAGAAGTAGTAAGTGTTTGCTTTAGGAATGGGTATGCTGATCATTGTCAATGAATTAACATGTGTGTCTCTTCCCAGCAGGAGATTAAGAAAAGAGAAGATGGGAAAATTGCTAAAAAACATCAATATGAGATTAAGGTAATGCAGCCTTGAATACCAGTCCAAAATAGGTGAGGGGGTCTAAATGGTTTATGTTGGTGGGTGTGAAGTCTTTCCACACTAGAAAACATTGAGTAGGGGAAGTTTCTACCATTAGATATTAAGAGCTATGGGAGCACAGCACCTTAGCTTGCTTTTACGTTCTTGAGTTTTATGTATGGCTTTATTACAGATAAAGGGTCCTTCGATTTGGAAACCACTAAGGTTAGGTGTAAAAATGAGAATAAACCTAGATATTTCAGAACAATTTCATATGCAGAGCAGTGAGGCCTAAGAGGCAAGTCTAAACAAGATCATTGCACTTGTTTTAACTTAAGGTGTGGTTTCATGACTGTTTAGTGAAGAAGACTCATAGCCATTCAGGCCCTCTTTACTTTCATTTAGCCATTCTTTTGATTATTTAAATCAGTTTAGGAATCTGTTTTAATAACATGGGCTACTCCTAAACCAAGTGAGGAGCTGAAATATTTATTTAGTAAAATAACTTTCTTTTTCAAACAAGTTTTGTTTGCAGTTATCCTTTTGTAAAGCAAATGAGATTATCGGTTATGATGAAGCAAAACTCTTCTGATTGTGAAGTTGCCTTTGCAACCTTTGTGTAGGGAAAAATGCTGTGTAACTGCATCAGCTGTACTTGGAGTGAAACTGCATGTCACAACTTGACTTTTGCTGAATGGGGGAAATCCTGATCCCCTGTCTTTCCTTCCTTGATAACTGTCCATGTGCTCCATCCTGTGTCCTGCTCCATTTTTGGTTCTCCTTAAGTGGAGCACTGTGCCGGTTCAACTTGCTAATATGGTACTACAAAGTAAGTTAATGTTCTGCCAGGTTAGTGAGCTGAATCAACCCAGCAGAGGGTCTCACAATCATCAAAGCTAGCAAAGGAAGGACTTGGGCAGTGAGGATCACAGGAGAGAAGGAGAAGGATCTCCTCTTTATTTCTTTATTTTTGGTAGCTGTGTGCTGATCAATTCTGCTGGAATATGTAACTTCACTGTTAGTCTGGCTATAGATACGTTTAGGTAAACTAAAGGAATTGTGTGTCATTTACCTTGCAGAACAACTATATAGGAAAAGCTTCTATGTTCAGGGGTAGGTGTTGCCATTCTTTGTGAATGGGATTCCCCCTCCCTAACTCCACAAAGCATAATTAAGGCTCTCTGTCCCCATTTTGAAGGCTGTCAGCCATTACAGCATTGAATGTACTCTATGCATTTGATACCTTCTTACTTGTATTGGTTATGTACAACCAAATAAGTATTAGTGAAGCAAGCTACAGAGTTAACTGAAGTAATCTAGAATTCCTTCTCTGAAGCTTTCTATGTGAGCAACTTTGCACTCTTCTCCTTTTGAGCCATTGTATCCCATATTTGGCTGAGAGAGTTCACAGCTGCTGCTTTCTCAGTGGGTATCTAGCTTTGGAGTTGAGATGGGTGGCTCCTCTCTGGAGTGCTTAATTGGAAGATAAGTTGCTGAATTTTCACTGAGAGACAGTAAAACCTCCGCCCTCCTTTCTTTTCCCTCTGAGTAGATAAGTAGATAGGACCAGCAAGCTAATGTCCTGTGTTTTAGTAGCAAAGAGTGCCTTTACCTTATGTACTATAACTGAGCAGCTCAAGAAAGGGATAGGTTACTTGCAGGTTCATAAACTGAAGACAGTTGTCTTTCTCAAAGCTGAGTTTCCTAAATTTACCAAATTTGTTTATGCATGTTCCATCTTGACTATGAAAGGCTTTGTCGGCATTTGATCTCTTTGTCCTTGGTTTCAGTACATGAATTGATGCTGTGGTACAAAAAGACTAACATACATCACGTGTGTTGTTGTTACTGTAATTTACTTATTGTCTTTCTTGCTCTCATAGTAAAATCAACATTTAAAAGATACCTTGTTTATGTTGCAGAGCTGTTGGCCGCCCACGATAACAGGAGGCATCTCGCCTTGCATAATTATTGAAACACCTCACAAAGAGTCAGTAACCACTGACTTCTCCAGGTTCAAAAAGTACCGGTTCAGAAACATCTTCATAAACCCATCACCTCTGCCAGAACTCAAGTAAGTTTACCAGATGCAGATCTGTTGTATTGTGTTTATATAACAGTGAGCAGCAGTCAACCCATACCTCTACTTGTCTCCTATCTCAGAAACAATTTGATGTTCAAAAAAAGACACATCGTGGTTTTTGTCCCCATAATCTTATAAAGTCACCAAACATGCAATTTTTGCCTTTAGAGCTATCCTTTTATAACTTTTGTAACTTAATACCAGGGACTCTTAAGTGGTTAAGAGGCACATGATAGTTAAACTGAACTGAGTGAGCAAAAATACAAGGCAAAATTTTCTTTAATAAGAACTTAAAAATGTACAAATATGCAAATAAACTTGTGGCAGTAGCTTGCTAATACAGTGCAGATGCTCAGTGCAGTCACAATTTTAGGAAGTTTCCCTTCTGGAGAGGGATAGATTGGCTGTTCAGTTCTTAGATGAGTGCACTGGCAGCAGTTTGTATCAGCCTGGTGTTTAGTGAAAGGGTTGTTAAATTGACTGCAATGCCTTAGGGAAATTTGTGAGGTGAATGAGAAGCAGAATGTGAAGTGTTGCTTGAAGAGCAAATTTGCTGATGACACCAAGCTGTGTGGTTCGGTTGATACGCTGGAGGGAAGGAATGCCATCCAGAGGGACCCTGACACTTGTGAGGTGGGCTGATGCCAACCTCATGAAGTTTAATGACAAATGCAAGGTCCTACACCTGGGTCGGAGCAATTCCAGGCACAGCTACAGGTTGGGCAGAGAAGAGATTCAGAGCAGCCCTGCAGAGAAGGACTTGGGGGTGCTGGTCGATGAGAAAATGAACATGAGCCGGCAGTGTGCGCTTGCAGCCCAGAAAGCCAACCGTATCCTGGGCTGCATCAAAAGGAGCATGACCAGCAGGTCGAAGGAGGTGATCCTGCCCCTTTAAACTGCTCTTGTGAGACCTCACTTGGAGTCTTGTGTGCAGTTCTGGTGTCCTCAACAGAAAAAGGACATGGAACTGTTGGAACAGTTCCAGAGGAGGGCCACTAGGATGATCGAGGACTGGAGCACCTCCCATATGAAGACAGGCTGAGAAAGTTGGGGCTGTTCAGCCTGGAGAAGAGAAGGCTGCATGAGACCTCATAGCAGCCTTCCAGTGTCTGAAGGGAGCCTATAGGGATGCTGGGGAGGGACTCTTCATTAGGGACTGTAGTGACAGGACAAGGGGTAATGGGTTAAAACTTAAACAGAGGAAGTTTAGATTGGATATAAGGAAGAAGTTCTTTACTGTAAGGGTGGTGAGGCACTGGAATGGGTTGCCCAGGGAAGTTGTGAATTCTCCATCCCTGGCAGTATCCAAGGCCGGTTTGGACAGAGCCTTGGGTGACATCGTTGAGTGTGAGGTGTCCCTGCCCACGGCAGGGGAGTTGGAACTAGATGATCTTAAGGTCCTTTCCAACCCTAACTATTCTATGATTCTAAGAGAACCTTTCTAGATGCACTTCGGTTTTATATGTTCTGGCCAAAATTCGATCAGAACAGGGAGGAGCATGGTGGTGGTTTGGCTCAGTGCAAAGCAATAGGTCTCTTGCAGTCTCTTTCACTGAGTTTCAAACTCAACTGCTTTTTTCCCTCAATATTACTCCCAAGCCTGCTGAACACTGCTTCAAAGAGCAGCATGCTCTGCTCTGTACCTAGCACATCACATTTTTGAGTGTGTTGGAAAACTTAGTGCAAGTAGGTTTTGAGGTTTTTTTAACTTAAACAAAAATGATGAGGAGGAAATCTCATGCACTGCTTTAGCAAACTGTTGGAAACTCCTGGATCCCCAAGGTATGTTCAGATGCAGAACTCCAAGAAAGAAGTTTAGTGCTTGATGTTCACCCTCTTGTTGCTAGGCATCTGGTAAAGCTGGGCTCCGTCCTTTCCAATTAGCTAAATAAGAGGATCATTTACTCTCACCTGTCTTTTTTCCTGCTTTTCTAACTGCTGTAGGAAGATCATAATACATTTCTTGGTGCCTGCCCTCTTAAATGAGGAAACTTGTGCAT